TTCGTATTATGTGTCCAGCCCATCTAAGTCGCTGTGTTTTAATGAACGTTATGACATCTGGCTCATCAAAGAGCTGATACAATTCAAAATTATATCTTCTGCGCCACTGCCCTTGGTCGTTTACAGCTCCAAATATTTTGCGGAGTATTTTACGCTCAAATATTCCCAAAAGTCTTTCATCTTTCTGCGTTAATGTCCATGTTTCTGCTCCATATGTGAGGACCGGCCTCAGCAATGTTTTGTATATAATAATTTTAGTTCTTCTTTGAATGTTTCTTGAGTGGAAATGCTTTTGGAGTCCATAGTATGCTCTATTTGTAAGATTTATTCGTCTTTTGATTTCTTCGCTTGTTTTATTGGTAGCAGTCAATAGCGACCCAAGGTATGTGAAGTTGTCAACACGTTCAAAGGTATGACTTCCAAAGACTGTTTCTCGTTCCTCATTTGCTGTCGGATCCTTTGTAACCAACATGTACTTGGTTTTGTCTTCGTTGATGACTAGACCGACTTGTTTCGCCGCTGTTTCCAATTCTAGGAGATATTGCTCAACATCTCGCTTGCTACGCCCTATTATGTCAATGTCATCAGCATATGCTAAGACTTGTATCGATCTATTGTAAATAGTACCGCCGTCCCTAATTCGTGTATCTCGGACTGCCTTTTCTAAGGCAATATTAAATAGGAGGCAAGCCAGAGCATCTCCTTGTCTGAGTCCATCCTTTATCTCAAAGGATCTAGAACTCTCTCCCTGTATTCTAACAGTGGCTTCTAAGTTAGACATTGTCATTCTCGTTAGTCGGATAAGTTTCTCTGGTATACCAAACTCATGCATTGATTGGTATAGCACTGTTCTCTTGACACTGACAAAAGGCATCATTGGCAATTCGTAAAGCCTAAGGATTCTCTATTGCCTGTGCGGACGGCATGGTAGGAGAAGAAGTGAATGAAGAAGTAAATAACTCTCTCTCTCTTCAATCCTGACCCCCCAGGGGGAGTGCAGTGGTCGACGTGATGTCGTGTATTGTCCGTCTCCAGAGATCTCTGTCTCTGGTCATTTCTTTTAATTCATGCATAGGCCTTTGGCATATTCCTGTAATTTGATCTATCCATCTTGTTGGGGATCTTCCTCGTGATCTTCGGCCTTCTACCTTTCCTTGTATTATAGTCTTTCAATGTTTTCTGTGTTTGCTCTCATAACATGCCCAAAATATTTTAATTGTTGGAGATGGACTTTACTAGAGAGTCGTTGGCTAACTTTTAGCTCTCTTAAAATTAAATTATTTGTTCTACGGTCGGTCCAAGGAATTCGTAACATTCGTCTCCAACAGAATATTTCAGTGGCGTCTATCTTTCTTCTCTCCGATTGTCTCAGAGTCCAAGATTCACATCCGTAGGTCAGTACTGGGAATATTAAGCAGTTGATCAACCTCATCTTTATCGTTCTTGAAATTTGACAGTCCTTCCATATCTTGGTCATTTTTGCTGTGGCAACTTTTGCTAGATCAGATCTACGTTTAATCTCTTCTTGTAGTGACCCTGTGTTTGTGATTAATGATCCCAGATATAAGTATGAGCTCACAACCTCGAACCGGTCAATTGTGGTTATGTGTGGATGATTGTTGTGTAGTCTATCCACTATCATGATCTTTGTCTTTGATATGTTTAATTGCAAACCAAATATTTGACTTTCGTTTTCGATCAGTCGTATAAGTTCCATCAGCTCTGCTTGACTATTTGCAAGAAGGGCTGTGTCATCTGCGAAACGTAGGTTGTTTAGTTTATGACCATTTATTGAGATGCCCTTTTCCCATCCTTCAAGTGCTCTTCGCATAATATACATATATGTTGAATAATTGTGGAGATAGTATACATCCTTGTCTGACACCCCGTTCTGGATGAAACTCGTTCGAAAGTGTGTCAAGTACTTTAATTGATCCAGTAGTGTGTTCATATAGTTCAGTTATAAGCGTAATTAGATGTTGTGGTACGTCTACTTCGTTTAGTATTCGCCATAAGTGTCTCCACTTGACTCTGTCGAACGCTTTACGGTAATCTATAAAACAGATGTATAGTGGGATTTTGAATTCCCTAGATTTCTCGATTATCTGTCTTATATTTAGCCGGTGTTCTCGAGTGCCTCTACCTTTGGTAAATCCAGTTTGCTCTTGTGAAATTTCTCTTTGAAGGAATGTTTTCAGTCTCTCATTGATTACATGTAGCATTATCTTGCTGGCATGGGATATAAGAGAGATAGTTCTATAATTGTCGCATTTATGGAAGATGCCTTTTTTATGTATGGTCGTTATTGTAGATTTTGTCCAGTCTTCAGGCCATTGTTTGGAATGCCATATTTGGTTACAGAGTAGATGAAGTAACTTTACGCCGGTTTCTTCTATGGCTTTGAGCATTTCTGCCTTTATATTGGTCCCTGCAATACGATCTCCATGTCCCTGCTATGTCTTCTCTGTTTGTTCTCAGGGTTCCAGTGTTATCTTCAATGGCCCAAGTTCTGGCTCTGAAGTCTCTTGTCAGGTAGCGTATTTTTCTAAATAGATCTCTCGGCTGATTATTCTGACCATGTCTTTCAATTTGTTTGCATATACTTTGATAGTACTGTTTTTTGTCGGCCTTACATCTTCGTTTTATTTCTTTATTGGGGTTTCTTAAACTAGCTTTTTCCCTTTCACTATGTACACCACTTTTACAAAGATTTCTTCTATTCTCAATTATTTTAAGAGTTTCATCTGTTATTCAGTGTTTCCGTTTCACCGGATTATTTTTCTTTGAGCGATCCACTGGTGTTGTTACGCAATGTGTATAACAGTGAATAACTATAATATTTTAAATAATATAAAACATCATATTTTCTTTCAACAAACAATAACATATACCCTACTCCTACATCATCTGTTAACACCCATCCCCTCAAGAAACTTCCTCCTAACTTGCTAGACAGTTACAACTTTGACCGAAGATCACTTATTATTAGTAATAAAGGAAAGTTTGAACTATGAATCACCAACCAATATAGTAATTCTTGAACCGGAATGTAAGTAGTATTTTGTTTATTTCTAATGTATCACAATTCAACATACTTTTTATCTTAACAATTTGTGGGTTGTTACGCAATTTGTGCATATTAATTAACACAGACATGTAATATTGGCATAATTACTAAAACTTTTTTGATCTATAACTTTTTTATCTATATCCTTATAAAACAGCACCCTAATATGGGCTTTTTATAATTTCAGCATTTAATTTACTTTGTACTATCGACCTGATGATGCTTTGCAAATTTTAGAAAGCTAAACCGGTCGTCTGAGGTAATAAAATTAAATTGATTGTAAGTCAAATTAATTCTTTTTACCTTTTTTAAAATGGACTCACATAAGCAACACATTCATGATTTTCATGAAGTGAATAATTATTTCAATTTGTTAAAAAGGACGTTAGAGTCTTTAAACCTCTTAATCAAACTTGGAAATATTTACAATGTAGATGAACCAGGTTTGCAATTGAACAACCCTTTACAAAAAGGTATAGCAGCTAAAGGCAGCAAGTTGGACCAATCCAAGTGCGGCAATCAAAAGAACAAGGAGAGACAGTGACATTTGTTGCCTGTTGCAATACATTACCGCTCTACTTAGTCTTCAAAGGTCTAAACAGACTATCTCAAGGTGTACACTAACGGATCTGAAGTGGTGATGGGTGAAAAATCAGCCTAAATTATTGAACACCTTGTCAACAATTGGCTGGAAAACCACTTTGTCCCAAGTAAGGCAGTTGGTCCATATCTATTATTGCTCGACAAATACGAATCACATACTAACTAGCTGGACATATTAGAGATAGCGCTGGAAAATAATGTCCACTTTCTCTATCTTTTCAATGACACAACACATTACTTAAAGCCGCTTGATGGGTCATTTTTTCAAACCATTAAACCTATTATCGAAGTTCAGCTGTGGCATGTGGAAATGCAAATCCTGGAAAGAAGATAGAACGCAGTAATAGTATATAGTGACAGTATAGCCAACTTCTACAGAAAGTCTAGTATCAAGCTGCAACAATGTCTACAGGTTCGTAGGCTTCCGGGCCTGCGGCGTGTCCCCATTTGCGCTCTCCTTTATTCCTAAATACGCCTACCTATAAGGAGCTGCGGAGTCCAACTTTATGGACAAGGACGACGCAAGTGATAGCTCAGCCTTGGATTCTCAACCCAGCACATCTAGTTCATTCTCACTTCCTACTACAAAGAAAAATCCTATTGAACCATGTTCTCATATAACTACAGAAGTTCCTACAAATTGTATCACCAGTACCAAATGTGATGCTCCTGCCGTAGCGAAAAACAAACGACATGCTCAACTTTGCTCAACAATCATCTGGGGATGAGTGGGACGAAAAATCCTCCGATGATGAAATCATAGATAAGGAAGATTTCCTCGAATGTGTAGAAAGTGTGAAAGGTGAAGACTATCTATTGGTTGTTTCCTGCAAAGAATAAACCATTATATTATGTAAGCTTAGTCATTAGCATCTATAATGATGGCGTGGAAGTTAAATTCATGAAGAAAAGGAAGGTTTAGTTAATATTTCCATTAGCCGAAGATATCACCATTGTCAAAACGGAACACGTAATAAAATCATTCCAAAAGCTAATGTTCATCGTGCTCACTTCAATTTTGTTGTTAAATTCCCTAACACCATGCCAGTTGTGTAGACAGAAGTTTTATTTCACCCAATTTCATTGAAAGTTGCAAAGTTCATCGCACTGAGTTTTTATTTTTGGTTTACATGTAATTTTCCATAACCCATATCCCTAAAACCTAGTGCGTCATATAATCTTCTACGTCAACCTATCAAATAATGAAAAAATCTAACCCTACACTTTCGATTTGGGCCAATTTTAACCAATTATAAAAAGTAATGGATAACACACATTAAGACGAATGACAAGTAACAAACCTTAAACATATGTTAAAACAATTACATACCTCTAATTCTAGTGTACCCTGGCTCTATAATATCCAAAACTTCAAGTACTTCTCTACATAATTCCACCTTACGTTCAAGTATACTTTCGCTCAGTTCGTTTATCAGATAGCCTTTTATTCTTCCATAAGTTTGGCTTAAAGTTATTTTAATTCCAAGACACATATAGTGTGTGGGATGTAAAACGTTTCTATATTTATTTAAAAACAGCTCCATAGATTCTATATCATTGCCGTCTATTTGGTCGACCTCTTGAGATATTCTGAAAGAAATAAGGAAATATTTTAGTAACGATTTTACTAAAATTTAGCAAATGAGATAATGAAGGGTGCATTATATTCGGAGTCTGTAGTCCGCGGTCTAGAATTTATGCATCTATGCCCGCTCCAGTATCTAGCCTCCGATGATGTCTGTATATATATATACATGTCTGTATATATATATATATATATATATATATATATATATATATATATATAAAAATATGACAGACTGTGATAAGTTTTATCGACATGGTAGAAAATCATTGATGATCCAACCTCATTAAGTTTGTAAGTAGCGAATCTTTAATTAATTATACAAACTTGTAACAAACTATTCATCACATTTGTAGCTCCCTGATGAAGGACATAACCATGTCCGAAAGCTCGGAATAAAAATTTAAAAGAGTACACGTATCATTTTTATTGCTGCAAACCCAATATTGAAAATTATTATTATATTATATTATTATTATTATATTTAAAAATATATATAGAAATGGAAAAGGATAATGCGAGTGAATTATAAAAGTAAAATGTAATGGCATATCTCGCAAAACAAAAAACCAAAAATGGTATATCGATGGAATAGTCTATAGGGTTCCTTGTTAGAACTGTGAATTGTCTTATATTAGGCAAACTGGTCGTTCCTTGAAATTGAAAGAACGTCTCATTACACATTGCTCTAAACAATGTGTGCTTTATCTAGGGAAATGTGTGTGAAAGGGATTTCACCCCATTTCATTGGTTTTCACTGCTTATATATATATATATATATATATATATTTATTCGATGATATATTAAAAAAATATATATAAAATCTGTTTTAAATACTCGTTTTAGCGTGGATTGTTGAATTTTGCAAACAAAATACGTATAATAATATTACCTGTTTAATAAGAGTTTAAGTGATTTAGCGTTAATGATGTAACCAGGACAGTGTTTAGAAGAATTTTTGCAACTCCAGGAAGAGTCGCAATTTAAAGGATTATCACAGAGAACCAGTCCCGATTTACATTTTGGACATTGTAGGGCACTGCTATAACAACCAAGTTCTGTAGGGTCGGAACACCGTTTGCAGTAGCATTCGAAGAATTTGTTGTCCAGTAGGTGCTCACGTCTTTTAAGAGTATTCTGGAATACAAATAAATAATTGTTTGAAAAAATATTATATTCAAGATAATTCTAATTACTATGGACACTTAATTTTATTGATATGTTTACTAATCTTTTTACCTACATTTTAATTTTATATCTTTAACAGGAATATATAAATTAAATAACGTAAAAATTTTAATAAGGAAAGGTAATAAATATCATTATTAACAGCTATTCCATCCATCATCGAATGTAAGCATGCCTTAGGTATGTTCATTCATTTCTATTTGTCGTTTTTGGGTCCATTTTTGACCAGCCGTTTCCTTGATGTCATCAGTCCATGGCTTTGTGGTCTGCCCCTACTTAGCTTACTTGCTCTTCGTCGCAATTCAAAAATTGGCTATGTCCAACGACTGTCTTCCATTCTTCCTAAGCGTTCTGCCTAGTTCTATTTTAATATAGGAATCATTTATATAGAATTTTGTATAAAGAACATATATAGCTGGAAGGAATTTGAAAAAAATTGAATGATAGTTTCGGAAGTAATGATAAACAATTTTTAACAAAATACTAAATATAAGTAGAACAAATAAAACAGAGATTAAAGGAATTAGAAATAAAAGAACTGAATTCTAGACAAACATAAAGCATATTGGATATATGGTGAAAAAAAAATGAGAATAAGAAACAAAACAAACAAGATGAGAAGATATTACATCAACAAACAGAAGAGGAGAATGATAATGAGATGGAAGAAACCAACACCAAGTATATCGAAGAAGAAATAGCAAGAATCCCAAGAATCTAAAGAGAGGAAAAGCAAAGACAACATACATTTGGAGATATTAAAGTAGTTAGGAAAAGAAGGCAAAATATGTATATTAGACATTATGAAGGAAGTATGAGTAAATAATACTACACCAACACACCAGGAAGGGCTTATATTAGTACCTAGATATAACAAAGGGAAATGGAATGTGTAAATTAAAAGGCTGGTAGTTTATCATAAGTGATATTTGAAGTTTATACTTGTAACGAATATTTTGCTTACCTCAGGGTAAGAACATGGGGGTAGAAGATTGGGCAAACAAAATAATCGAAACTGGTGCATACGACACTCAGGAGCTTGTTGGAGAGCTCGGTCGTGGATAAGTTGAAATAAATGGGTCGGATTGGGGTATCTACAAAATGAAAACAAAGGGATATTTACATAAATCTCCTGGAACAAAAACGAAACAAGATATGGCAGACAAGGTTACCTCTAGCTATTTTCTTTTTCGGGACTTCGCTTTGAGAAAAACTTCCTGCTGGAAAAAGAAAATTTCTTCTTCCCTTAATTCACAAACTTTGCCACTTAACTTTAAAACACTTGCTACTATCTCTGGGATTGGAGCTGCAAGGACAAAACTCTCAACTGAAACAAAAGGAAACCATTTCCATACTCAGGAACGAACGATCAAAAAACGTAAATCAGGTTTGGTGGTGAAGCAAGCTGACAAACAAAACAAACAAAACTTATGGTTGTTACTCTGTTCTAAACTACAATTATTGCAAAAGAGTATTATCCAACCTTTCACCGGTCTTAAGACATAACACAAAAAAATCGGCTATGGATTAAAAATTCGCCAAACGTCTTCCTCGTTCGAATTCTCTTGCTTCACTACTTATCTGCCTTCAGTTTTAAAATTTCAACGTAATTCCCAATTTCCCCTCACGTCTCGCAGCCAGTTGTGCCTACAAACTTAAGCAAACAGATACCCTCGACAACTGTCTATTCGTAACAACCTTGAAACATTCCCATCTTTATTTCGTTGTAGAAAAAAACTTGAAATATTTGAATGTAAACAAAGACAAAAAATATTCTCAGCGTTATTACGTATTTAAGAATCTCAACTTAGGACGCCATAAATATCCATAGTTTTAAAACTCCTTTACAAAAGAGGCAAACGCATAAAACAACCAGGGGCGTACTACAAAATTTTATACAGAATTTAATATATTATATAGATATTAAATATAAAACGCTACGTACTGGGTTAACAAAAAGAAAGCTCAAAAAACGATTACTGTTTAATTAAAACAAGAGATCTAAGAGTATATGACATGTAGAGAAAAAAACGAACAATATATAACACATATATAATGTGTATTTAATTAAGAAGTTGCGTATACACACTCATCTCGTCACATAATTTTAGTTATTCTGGCGTGACTTATGCAAAGAAATGCCAATGTGGCTCACTAAGGTAAGGATTCTGTAACCTTTGCACTGTTTATAACTTGATTGATTTTAATTTTAACTAGTAGTTCGGTTATCTATTTGACCCCTAATAGATATGTAATTTAAAAGACTGATATAAGCGGAATAGCCAAGATGCATTGGAAAGATAAAAATCATTTTGAAAGTGTGCAATACAAGATATTCGAGAAACTCAAAAGCGAAAATTAGTGCATGTAATTGCCGAACAAATTCCAAAAACCACAACGTTAAAACCTATTACAGTGGTCTATAACTTTTTTAATGCCTATATTTCGATCATTGCCACTCAAGCTTTAGCAAAAGGTTTCAATTCCTCTCTTACCCCAGTTACATACCAATTAACATAATTATTTGTCAAACTAAATAAGCCATCCCCAGTTTACCTTTCGAAGACGCTGAAATAACTAGACAAGACATCGCTAGAGTTCTTAGAAACTCAAAGCCTCCTAATCCGAACATTAGCCAATGACAATATAGACTAATTCCTAATATTCAACGACAACCTCCCGCCGAAAAGGCTTTATCCTTCGTCAAAAATTATTTTCATTTCATCGAAATTCTTACACAATACACTATCTCACAGTCAGACATTCTAGTAAGTTTCGATATTGTTTTACTCTTTACAAACATTCCTATAGACGAAACTTCAAATAGGTAATATCTTTATATGGAAGGCTTCGAGACCCGAGCACTATCCACATCAATGCTCAAACAAACATCTTGGCTACGATATGTTGAGGATACACTGATCATTTGGCCCCATGGCAGGGATGCTTTGGTGTCTTCCAAACTAATCTAAATGGTATTTATTCTAGTATCCAGTTAACAATGTAGGTGGAAACTGATTCACCCCTCCCGTTTCTCGGCGTTATTATGAAGGAAAACCAATTCCAAGGTTTTCATCATTCTGTTTATCGAAAACCCACCCATACAAATCTTTACTTGTATGCCAACTCTCAGCATCCACCTTCACAAATTATTTCAGTCATTAATACCCTTTTCTTAAGATCAATACGCTTTTGCGATTATGCAAGTAGACCCACTAAGCTCTCTAGTTTAAAACAAGCCCAAGTCCAAAATGGTTACCGCGAAAATCACATCGATAGGAACATTCACAGACGTCAATCTCCCACTCAGTTTCAACCCAAAGACTCAGTTCATCAGACCTTCATCATACGAAAGTTTTTCTTCCTTAAATCAAAGGTGTCACTGACAGCATCGACATAATTCTTAAATCCAGAGGAATAAAGAAAATATTTACACTCCAACAAAAATTTTCATCTCTGGTCCGATAAATCAAAGACAACATTCCCAATGAACAACACGTAGTTTGTCAACTTCCTTGTGCAGACTGGATCCGATCCTATATAGGCCAAATAAATCGTAGAATTCAAAATAGGATTTATCAACATTCCATTATTTCTGTTCGCAATTCCGATTCAATTTCAGCTCTAGATCAACACCATCTTCATACAGGTCACAAAATTGATTTTGAAAACTCCAAAATTATAGCCTCCGTCAGCTTCTATAAACCAAAAAAAAAGAGATGAAAGCATACGGTTACCTCCGACATATAAACCTCTCATAAAGAAAATATCGTCCGCTGCACCCGCCAATCAAAATCATACTGTCAGAAATATTTGTGTCAACCCCCGCGCCAATCCTGTGCTAACCCCCACGCGAACCTCCTTCCAAACCACGTTGGCATCGATGGTATAGTGAACCGCCCTCTGTTTCCAGTAACAGTAATTCATTGTTTGGGTCTGATCTCCTCCATGATCACAATATTTAATCATTTTCACGTCTTTAAATTGTGAAATTATAAATACAACCGAATAATATATAATGTAATACAATATATTATATGAAAACATATTATAATTATATAACACATTAATTATATAAAATCGCAGATAATCGTCGCCGTTTTAAAGCAAGTTGATTTCAGAACTAGCCAGTCTTAGAAACCTACGAGCAGTCTGGAAAATTAATCTTCACTGATTATAACTAAACACATTTTTGCATCACAATTGGCTACAAAAACTTGTAGTCGTGTCTCCGCACTGGCTGTCCCGAGTCCCGAGACGCAAGTGTTATGCCCTCTACTAACATCTTAAGAACATAAAACTACAAAACATGTAGGTATACATAATTAAAAACTTACCTGTAACGTATATGCATAACTTAAGGTAACTGGATGGCCATTTTCAATTTTAGTAGAAGCCCTAACTGTTAATCTATAATTAGCCTCTTCGTCGCAATGATTAGTATTAGGTACGCAGTCGTGAGACATAAGGAATGCTGTAGGATATAGTCCTCGGATACTTCTACCTTGATGGCCAATTTCAAAGCTGTTTACCTAAGAAAAAATACACATAAAAATAATCGCATAAAAATCGTCGCAAGAAGTAAAGATAAACTCTAAAGTTTATTTACTAATGTAAAGATTAAATGTATCAAAATTGTTTATGTACGAAAAATACGAAATTTGGAATGTAGGACAGCTCTTTCAAATGATAGAAGATGGTGAAGCTTTTGCTATTATGATCTTTAAAGTTGGATGTATCTGATATGATATATAAGAAATAAATGGAATTCTAAATATAAGAATTTTGTCTGTTTTTATTACGAAAAGTGTCAATCTCCGTAATTAAATCACACTTGTTTAAATTCAAATATGGTTGTGTAAATTAATCGATACATTTCTCCTCCCTGTAACCCTAAGATTCCTATACCACCGATTGGAGAATGGATCTCGAGATCGAGATGCATATGATGAACTAGACGCAACTCGAAAGTGGACCGATGCATACATATGAAATTCGTTTTGTTCGTGGTTTCGTAAAAAAGTGTAAACAACTACCATTGAAGTTACTGGTAAGTCCACACCTAGTTTTACCTTCACCTATATATTGTTTTGTTTGTTTATTGCAACCATTTAAAATTTGGTTATTGTTGGCACCTATAAGTTACAGTTCATTTATCTCACCAGGGCTATTGAAGGGAAAATAGTTGATATTAATTTACTTATTATTAATTATCTCGTAATGGATCATTGTTTTTTTTAATTGGCCACAACACTTTAAAAATAATTTTGTTAACTTTTTTTTACAGATATTTACAGCATTACTTTGTATTAATTAATTACTGTATTAACTTACTCTTAAGTAAACCAAAGGTTGTTAGATATTTCTACAACATAACCTGGCCTTAGCGAAAGTCTGAAAGGTGCCTTGTGCTAAAAATCTAACAAATAACTACCTGACAAAGGTTTCAAAAGGAAAAGAAGTGAAAATTATAGAGATTATAGCATTATAGAGTGCTATAGAAGCTTTTGGAAATAGCAAAAAAAGATGGTAAGATCACATGTTAAAATGAATAAGGAGGAAAAATAGGATAAACTGCTAAAGTTAATGAAAAACATGGAAAGCCAAGTAGGATATAAAATCGGAGATGAAAGAAATAAGAAGAAAATAAAAATAATTTATAGAAGAAGTCCAACTTATTATATAGGAAAACATTAAGCTAAGAAATAATTCTGAGAGTATAGTTAAATAAAATATAGTGATGAGCAAAAAGATAAGATACATGGACAGCTTGAATATTTGGAAAAAAAAAAAAAAAGAAAATAATGTAGTTTTTTTATCTAGCCCAAAAATGGACAACGATGATACAACTACTTTAAATGAGCAATGTTAAATGTCATGTACCAACATTTGATTATAAAAAGATAAATATCAAAGCTGCAAGAAAAATTGTAAAAAATGACTGTTTTGAATTGATTGAAATAAAAGAAAAAGGAAAAACTATGTAAGATAAGCATAAACTAAAATAATTAAATGATGAGAAAATATAAATAAAGGAGAATGTAAGTAAAAGAAATAGAAATATAGATAAGAAAATAAGGCAAAAGGTATATGAAGAAAAAGTAAATGGAAACAAGCTCAAAATTGTTTTCTACAGTGTAACGATTATTAGATAAACATAGAAATGTAACAAGGATAGGCAATAGCATTTTATCCGATAACACATATATTATGTATGTCCAGAATAAAAGGGAATAAAAGAAATAACAATAATAAATATGCAAAAATACAATTTAACGGACATAGAATAATAAGAAATAGCAATAGAAAGAAAACTAGTAATAAAAAGCACTCATTTAAGATGAAAGGGAATTTATAATGGAATGTGGAAGTGTCCAGATGCAAAAAAAACGAATCAAATCGACTACGTATTAATAGAGAAAAAAGATATAAATTTCATAAAATTATAAATTATAAACTGTCACCTCGGAAATCTTTTTTGGGTGGTGCTAGAAAAATAACCAATGGAGACACTGCGGACGGCAGCCAGATGGTTGGTGGAGAGCGAGTCGTGGGTTCGAAACTAGCTTTTGGAACCGGGAATGGATCCAACGGAAGAAATAGGTAAAGATAGGATAAGAGATATTAGAAAAGATACAGAAATAAACAAAAAGATAGATGGGTAAAATTACCAAAGATAAGAGAAGATAGAAACAGGGCGCCACTCAATTTTTTGGGGTTAAGGAGAAAATTAAGAAAACCTTAGAAAAGAAAAGAGATAAGAAAAGATATTTAGGTTCAGAGATCAAACCCAAGGAAAGATACCAACAGTAAATTATCAAATAAATCTGGTCAACACAATATATAAACAAATATTAAAGATATTAAGTATTACACTTACTTACCAACGAAACTTAATCAGCCTGATCTTTCTACAGTTCAAAAGCAAAGTAATATTTAAAGATAGTAATAGTTCAGAGCTATTATTTTATCAGGGAACTTGTTAGGAGCTGACAAATAAAATACATGCATAAAACAATAACAATATATTAAACACAAAATTATGATGCTGCTAAATGCAACCCAGGTAATAAAAATACACAACTATGAAATGGTGTTATATATGTATAAAATTAAGCTATAATGTAATAAAAAAATACCTTTACCAAGATGTATAAGGCAATCATATACAAATATAGTTTGGCGTATCTCGAGATATCATAGGAAAGATAATGAACAAAAATTATAGGAAATACAAAAGATAGCAAAAATTACAAAACTCTAAATTTACAAAAAAAAAACAAAAAGGTTACAAGAATGAAAACATAAACCAAACCGCACTTGGCAAGTCAATTAACTATCTCGCACTATTATTTAATAAAAAACTGAGACTTGTATGTTCATAGGTAATATTTATAGAAATTTCTTGAATGGTTCAATTACATTCAAAAATCGGCAATCTTCAGGTGAAGATATAAATGATATGTCCAGATAATGGTAGGTGATATGGTACCATACCATATTACTCGCCCAGATAATTGTAGATAAAATTACTTACAGTAGATCTTGACGAAGGCAGCTTAATTTACTGAATTTAATACTTTTCTGGTACTAAACACTGAATTTAATAACCATTAAAGGTAGTGTAGAACTATATATAATTTAATATAGTCTAAGGAAAGAAAACTCAAATATAAAGTGTATACACACTTAGAAAATAATTCACAAAGACGATACGATAAGAAATAAAGTGAGCAAAGCGTAACACGAGATATTGGCCTTAACTCAACAACGGCCCACCAACAAGTAAGCTGGTTCCACTCAAAATTTCACCAACTGTCCCTGAAAAAGGAAGAAGAAAATATTCCCCCACTCAAGAATGATAGGACAGTTGTATGTGTTTCTCAGAAGGTAAGGCGTTAACGACTATTGGAAACTTTGAGGTAAAATAATCGGTATTAACAATTGGACATAAGAAACAGACAATACTTGGGATTAAGTTATTGTCAAAAGAAACGGGCCTTCGACGAAAATTACCAATTTATGAAAAGGAAACTGCATACCAAAACGCATTATACTCTTTTCATAATGAATATTATGACGGAAGGATTAAAAACCATTCCTAATTAGCTGGGTATTCCATTTTAGCTGGGTATCTACAATATTTTGGCTATCGATACACGATCATAGGCGTATCGCACGGGGGTAAAAGGAATTAGAAATATTTAATATATTAATAATAAAAAAAATGTTACAAAACTATCTGATAAGAGTGATATACTGGAGATTTGAACTGACAAATAAGAAAATAACCAAATAAATCATGACAAAATTAATTCACCTTCTTAAAGAATGAGGATATAAAAAATAAATATAAGAAAGGTAGAAATAAATAAACGCGTTAGAATCAGAAACGGACATAATATGGGAACACTCAAAAACAGTAATATAAAAGCAATGGAAAAAGTTATTGGCAAGACACAGAAGAAAAAAATAAAGGATTGGTATGATGGAGAGTGTACGTGAAAAAACAGGAGAGTTAATAAGAGGAGCCAGACAAATACTAAATTCATATGCTAGAAAACAAATATGAAAGTAATAAAATAGCTTGTAAAGATGCAAGAACGAAAATGAAAAACTTATGTCTAAAAAATAAAAAAAAAATTAAGGAATTAGATTATTCTACCAGGAAATTGGGAAAGGACAAATAAAAGGTAACAGAAGCAGAGTGTATGTACTAATAAATGCGATACCGGAGGAATTGAAAAGGTGGAAGATCTACTTCCACGGTTTACTAAATAACGCTGGAGAAGAAGAACAGAACCTGATACGTGATATGTCACAGGAGATAGAAGGAAATAAACTGACTGACTGACTAAAAAATGACTTTGAAGTAAAACAGGGGCTCAGATAAAGTGACCCGATATCAACCACATTGTTTAACTTAATGCTAGAAGCAATTGTTAGGAAGAGTAAAGTGAAGACAGAGAAATTAATATTTAAGAATGAACACCGATGTATAAGATATATCTATAAGATGCAGATAATGTAAAAATATTAGCAAAAACGAAATAAAATAAAAACTAAAATTTACTTTAGGAAAAGGTACATGGTTTTATTTAGAGCTGACGAACTCTGTAGGATTAGAGACTTTTGAGAGCATTTTGCCTCAACTCGTGGGAACAAAATGGACACCGAGACAAAGAGACATGGCCCAGAAAGGAAGTTATAAATAAGTGACTCTTCTGAGTCTACAAATAAAAATATAAATGGAATAAGCAGTGGCTCCGTCGCTGTCTCTGTTCCAAATAGGTCTTAATGATTCCAATTAGTTATGTTAAAAACTTGTATGTTAATGGAATATATACAGTAAGCCAATGTGTTTGCAGTACGACATCTGTAGAAAATTCAGATTCCAAACAAGAAGAAAACCCCTTAATATATGTAAGACACCTTACATATTTTATAAAACAAATCATTTTTACAATACTGTTAACTTACCTCTAAAATTCCACACATAGTATGTATTTCTTCTTCAGTAAAGCAGTTCAGTCCCCAATCTTTAATAATAGTATCAACAACGTTTTTCTGATTACTATCCCAAACCTCCGGGATATTTCTTCTTAAATCATTATGATGTTCCATATCTAAGAGTAGGTCATAGGATTTTGGATCAGTTTTTTTGAGCAATAGGCATCTAAATGGTACCAGAGCACACAATCGACTCCTTATCTTGGAAAAATCATTGTAGTCCAAAAAACTTGATGACTGAGTTTCTCTGAGAATCGCACATTCAACTTCAGTATGTCCAAGTCTCCTGTTAAGTCCGGAACATTTTTGGGAGCATAAGGGCCAATTGCAGGATTTGCATCTTAAATTAAATAAAAAAACATTAATAAATATTGTTCTAAAACTTTTCCTTTATGGAATTACAATTTTTTCAAATATCTTTTCTGGACGTTACTTTTCATTAGCTAAAGCATTTTTCATTAACTAAAATAACCCCTCAGAAAGAAATAACAGTCTACTGTCTTTGAAGGACACGATCTCTTCGGATTAGTGCAACACACAGTAATTCGTACGCCGGTTTCTCGGAAGATCACTTCAAGCATGCTTCTGACAATCTTCCAATCCAGATTATCTAGTGCATGGCCTATCTTGGGTAAGGCCAAATTCTTAATGTCGTGATTGCAGACGATTTTCTTCAAATTAGTTAGAGCACACCATATATCCTCGTAGGTTGGCCTAGCTGTATACGACTTCCTGGTCACCATATACAGCAAAGATCGAGAACCATCTTCTAATCTCAATACTCTTCCAACTTTAGGCTGCTGGTTTTTTAACTCGTCCAAACGACCGAACTTCTTATAAAATACAGATGAGATTCCTTTAGTCATCTCAAGATCTTGGGCAACACAGTGGGCTAGAGAGACGTTATGAGGAACACTAAAAAGATCCTGCTGAACTTCTGTTGTCACGCCGAATCTAGCACTCTTTTTCTCTGCGTAATTTGACATAAACTCCTTAAAGCTTCGTCGCCGATCATCTTTGATCTTATTTTGAAGGGTTCGGACTTCTTCGGTTTCATTTGAGCCAGCATAAGGTGCAAGACGATTTATGTGAACTACTTTAGGTTTACCTTTCGGCAACTTCTTAATTCGGTATATTACGTCATTTATTCTCTTTTTAATTTCATACGGACCCTCCCATTGTCTTTGCAGTTTAGGAGACAAGCCACGACGACGTTGTGGATTATAAAGCCAAACAAGATCACCTACTTCATAGCTTTCATTCTTGCATCGAGAATCGTATTGATTTTTCATTCTGTCACTGGCTAACTGGATGTGTTGTCGGGCAAGTTCATGAATGCTGTTCATTCTTAACTTCAGACGATCGACATAATCTTCGCTTGCAACATGTTCTTCGGAAGGTCTGCAGCCAAACTCTAGGTCGCAGGGCAAACGAACTTCACGACCTAACATCAGGCAGGTTGGAGTCTGGCCTGTAGTTTCATTCACGGCCGAGCGATATGCCATTAAGAATAAATGAATGTGCTGATCCCAATCTCTTTGATGTTTTGATACAACTTTGGACAGGTGTTTACCCATCGTTCGGTTCATCCTCTCGACCATTCCATCTGATTGAGGATGCAGGGGTGTCGTTCTGGTCTTATTGACACCAATCAATTTACAAACGTTTTGGAAAAGGTTTGACTCGAAGTTTCGCCCTTGGTCGGAGTGGATCTCCAAGGGAACACCAAATCGGCTAAAGAATTCTTTAACAAGTACCTCTGCAACGGTAGCAGCTTCTTGATTTGGTAGCGCATAGGCCTCAGTCCATTTCGTAAAATAATCCATGGCTACCAGGATATATTTATTTCCATCATTTGTCTCTGGAAGTGGACCTGTAATATCGATTGCTACTCGTTCCATAGGACTACCAACATTGTACTGTTTCATGGGTGCCCTCTTTTTACCAACTGGACCATTACTAGTTGCACACAGTTCACATTTCCGGCACCATCTTCTTACATCATCTTTATAGTTCACCCAATAGAACCGTTCTCGAACCTTTTGCAGAGTCTTCGTAATACCAAAGTGTCCACCTGATGCACCGTCATGCAACTGACGTAATACTTCGGACACTTTACTTTTAGGTACAATCAACTGAAACTTAGTTTCTGTACCATCATCGTTCTCAAAGGTTCTATAAAGAAGATCATCTTTTAGCACTAGGCAATTCCATTGGCTCCAGTAACACTTGACTTCAGGACTACATGCACTAATGTCTTGCCAAGAAGGCCTTTCACTTCGACGCACCCAATCCAATACTCTTTTTATACATGGATCATCTGCTTGAGCGTCTTGTAGCTGTTGAGGCTGCCATTGATCATTAATAACGGTGGTTCGCCTCACGGGGCAAAGTCGTTGTTCTAATTCAAGACAATGATTACGATTTGCACTGTATGGCCGTCTTAATTGAACATCAGCATTTGAATGACTTTTTCCAGCCCAGTGCTCGATCTGTTCTAGCTTTCTGACTGTTGTATTATTTTCTTGCACTTTGTGGCGAATGTGACCTTCGTTGTTACCATTCCAACATCTGGGTTCACGTTTCTTCGGCATCATGTTACGAACTACTTTCCGTACGATTTCCTCTAGACGTTTATCGTTTCGTTCGTCACTTTCTTCAGAGGTTCGTACTTGATAGCTCCGTGAAACTCGACTAGCTATCTCATGTTCCAAGGCAATGGCGAGCGCTTCATCTAAAACTTTCGGTCTTGCTAGTCGTAAAGCTTTCTGTAGTTCACTGTCTCTCAACCCATTGACGAAGGCATCTACAGCAATTTCTTCCAAAATGTTGTCTGGTACCTCTGGATAGGCCAACAGCGCTATACGAGCAATATCTGCTTCAAATTCTTGCAAACTCTCACTTGCTCGTTGAATTCTACTTCTTATTTGTACTTTGTAGACTTGTTGTAGATGGGCATCTCCGTAACGTTTGTCTAGTCGAGTGAACAAGGTCTGGTAACATTTTTCTTGACCCTTAGGAATCGATCTTAGGATATCTGCAGCATCACCTCGTAAAGCAGCAGTCAAGGAGACAGCCTTTTCTTGTTCTGTCCAATGATTGGCTGTCGCAATAGCTTCAAATTGTCTAAGGTATATGGACCAAGAGGACTTTCCATCAAAAGGTGGCAATTTGAATCTCATATTATGTGTCATTTCGTCTCTAGATGATTCTTCTTTCACTACCGGATCTAAAGCTACCGTATTAATTAGTGGTAGCACTTTCGTGTTAGTTATCATGCTCTCTAACTGTTTGATCTTCTCTTCTACCTTATCGAATGTTTTAGAAACTTCTTCAAATTTCTCATTATTCTTTTTCGAAGTTTCTTCCATCATTTGAGAAACATTTTCAAATTTCTCGTCGAATCTTTTTGACACATTTTCGAGTTTCTCGTCGTTTTGTCTAGCTACTTCTTTAATAATTTGAGACGTTTCATTGAATCTTTCATCATTTTTTTTAGAAGTTTCTTCAATTATTTGCGAGACGTTCTCAAATTTACTATCATTTTGTTTCGAAGATTCTTCAATCATTTGAGACGTTTCATCGAATCTTTTGGAAACAGTTTCGAATTTTCCATCAATTATTTTAGTTAGGACGGCTTCTTCTGCTGACTGGAATGTCTCTGGGTCGTCTCCATTCTTGTTGAGAACAGTCTTCAGTCGTTCTTGGAGTATCTTCTTGGACCCTCTGCAGTCTTCATCGCGTTCTTCTAGTTGCTCACGCAACTGTTTCACTGAAAGTTCTACTAGCAGCATCTTTGGTCAAGCACACACGTACTTTTTTTTTAAATCTTCTTTCGTACAAAGATCACTACCGAAATACGCGGATGTTCCCGACGAACAATACTTTTCAAAAGTTCAAAAGTTCAAAAGTCTTTTTTTTTTAAATCACTGCTGCATTTATTTTCAAATCTCACACCGGACACCACTGTAGCGAGATTAAATAAAACGAGCGGTTCGAATTTATATAAATATATTTATTTATAACTTTACAGTTCGGTATTCTCTTATCAACTCCACTAACTCCAAAGGTCGTTACATATATATACCTAAGTTACTATGTTCTAGAAAGTTCCCACCTCTAATTCGCGCACGTGGCCCATTGTTCTCTTGCCTTCGAGAGATCTAAGGATGATTCTGGAAGCCTTTTCGAGATGTAACCGTTATATGAGTCATGCCGAAAGCATGTTCGTAACAATATATATATATATATATATATATATATATATATATATATATATATATATATATATATATATATATTATTGTGATATTTAAAGTCTTGGTGCGCCAAGCAATAATTAGCTAATTAATTTTTTTGATTAATTAAAATTATTTAAATGATATGATTATGACTCTATCACAATTTTTAATTCTTTTATCTCAGGGTTAAATTCGTGCTTCAATATCTATGCTATTACATATGAAAGGTAAGGTCCAAAGAATACCGGAATAATAAAAAACACATATGATCTAACACTATATATTGAAATAAAAATAATGTAATAATTCACACTCAAAAGTTTTCAATAAACAAAATCTCATATAATGATTCTCAAAATTTTGTTCTACGTACGTGAACAATCAAAATTAATGGTACAAACAATATTAATTGAAATCTCAAAATCCCAAACTATTCTAACTCTCCTAATCAAAATATTTATATCCTTTCTAAATTAAGTGTAAAAATTGTGTTATCAATAAAAGAAAAAACTGCAGAAAACGAAAATATCTCTCTCTGATGATGAGTGGTCCAAATCCTTGTTCCTTGTAGACTATATTATCTCCTCTCAACCGCTCCCTATGTAATCAGCAATCTTACAACAAATTGTTGCAAGTATATCGTCCTTAATGATCTCCTTCAAAAACACAAATCATTCAAATTATGATAGCCTTTCTCCTCTCGATAAACTGAATCTCTCGTTGGCCCGAGTGAAAAATGACTCTTGGAATATCTTCTCTTTACGATAAACTGAATCTCTCGTTGGCCTGAACAGTGACTCTTGGAATATAAGTAGAAAAATATGACTTACAATATTTTGCTGCTTCAGCTTCTGTCAGATACACTAACTCCACAAAAACTCACTAACATTCAACACTACTGCTTGCTACTTCTCGGGAACCGCCAGAGAACAATCACTGTTCGTCTGACAGACTTGGAAAACCAACTGCCCATCTTTTCTCCCTCAAAATTCTAGCTAAACTTTCATTCCTACATACCTATCCCACCTTTTTTTATCTCCGCCAATCAAAACTCGTCACAATTCCCCATTCTTTCATTCCGATAACAAACAACTTTTTACCTATAATTGTAAAATTTCCTAAAACTTATTTACAAATAATATTTTTCTACAATTCTTAAAAACTAACAAAAACCTATTTCTAAAGCCTCTTCTATTGTCTTTAATCGCTGCGTTAAATCAATTTCAATTGTTCAATTGTTCTTTGGATTTCACTTAAAATTATGCGGGTCACTCAAGTATATTATAACAAAGGAAATAATTTATGCATAGCTTACATTTTGTTTAATACAGGTAATCCAAAAATTTAAATACTTTGCTTCTTCGAAATGTTTGTTGGTTATTATCCTACTTATCTGAATTATTTTAATGTTTTTGAACTTTGAAATATTTTAATCAAACCAATATTTTTCTCGATTTTACATATCATAACAATATATATATATATATATATATATATATATATATATATATATATATATATATATATATATATATATGTTTTATATGTTCTAAATTTTCAATTTTAATATTGACTGATTTATAAAAATTAATGAAATGAAAAGAGAATACTTTAAAAGTGTAGAAAGTATTTAATTCCTAGCTGAGCGTTTTATGCTTACAAGGCCATCTTCAGAGCTATGGTAAAATTAAAAAAAATACCATTATAAAAAGGCATCTCATCATTAAAAAAAGAACAAATATATTCATCAATATTTAAAAAAGTTTTCTAAAAGAAATTAAAAGTAAAACAAAAAACACATACACATAAACACTATGTATATATTATATATAATATTTTTTTGCTTTATTATTCGTTTTTATTTATTAAGGGGAATTTTTTATACTAAATCGCCAAGATTTGATATTTTCAGCATAAAAAATCTTTGATCATATTAGTTGGACCAAACCAAAAAAGTGATAGCACATGATTACACGTCTTGAATTTGATCAAATGCTTTAAAAATAGAGGATCTTCTATTTTTCAAGGTCAGTTTAATCAAACTTTAGTATTAAATGGTCGAAAAAAATATTAAAAGGCAAATGACAATCAGCAGTTACACATAACGTGATGAAATTCATTTTCCTTTTTTTCTTTGGTTGACAGTACGTGGTTTATTTATCTTTCTTTTTGTTATAAATAAAAATAAAAGTTTAAAATATCTCGATTGAATGGGAACAGTCATTATTTATTCCAATTCTTAGCCCATAAAAGATAAACTCACTGCAATTACCTATCGGCCCTCACCTCTTGTGTAGGTAAAGTTTTAGAATAGATGATCAAAAAGAAGTTGGAATGTATAGAGGTTGAAAATAAGAAAATCCTCAGACCATTGCAGCTAGGTTTTAGAAGGGACAAAGGATGTTTAAAATATCTATTCTGCTTGACATCTGAAATCCAAAAATCATTTTAGTTCATAATTTATTTATTTATTGCCCTGCGCTTTATTCAGATATAATTACAAAATCAGATATCAAGATAACAGAAATGTGCATAGGTTTTGTAGTTAATTTTGTTAGTTAATGAAAAATACATCAGTTTACAGTTTCCACGTTAGCATGATTGATTCTGCTCAATAGATGGCGCAGACAGTGAGAAAAAAATATAACAAATATAATTTGTGATAAAAAATAATTAATAATAATTGTAAAGACATCTCGTTTACTTTACGTCTACGTTCAGTGTGCTAACATTTTATTTCAAGTTTTTGATAGGAATATGCGGATTTTTTCCTGCTTAATAAAATGTGCTCTAAAGAAAATTTAATAATAACAGCTATATTATTGGACAAAGAAAATAATTTAAATAAAAATACGAAACGGAAATATTGGATACATAATATGTTGAAACATAGAAATACTAAATGATAATACATAACTTTGTTTACAGAACTTATGAATGAAGATACTAAATTCTTTGAATATTTTCGAATGACAAAATTCAAGTAATTCGAATTACTTTGGTCTACTGAAGAACTAATAACAAGAAAGGATACTAGATTCAGAGAATCGATTAAAGCTAAGTAAAAACAGTTTGTTTGTTTAAGGTAAGTTTATTATTTTTATAATAATATTTTTACAAATTATTATACACAACTGTCACCAAAAATTAACATGAGTTACCCTCATCATAAGAGTATGTTGCGAGATAAGACCCTACCGAAGTTGAAGGTGAGTGTGATGATGGAGGTATATAAGATGCAGGCATCATTGGGGTAGCAGCCTCTTCACCATCATTTTCATGTAAAAATGCCAAATTTGATGGTTGTGACATTGATGGAGGTATATACGGGATAGGCACTTTTGATGTAAAAATGATTGGCTGTATGGAGCTGATGGTTGACCTTTCGTTTGTAAAATTTGATTTAATTCTAGTTATTGAACTAGATTTAGATAAAAAATTTTGTTATCTGCAATATTCCGATGATATGAAGTAAACTTCTTGACTTTAACAGCAATGCTATGAAAAAATACATCAGTTGTGTCCGCTTTTAAAACCCGACGATTTTCTTCAGTTTCCTGTTTTCGAATGAGATATTTCATAAGCTCTGAACTTGCAGAAGCCTCGTGGTTTGCTACTTTTAAAGCTTTTTTGCTTTATTGGAGTTAATTGATTTTCATCTCTGGACGTTAATTAAAGACATTTGACTTGTACCAGTTGAAGAATTTTCGATATTACTTACTGTATCTCTTTGACGTACGTATGGTTCTCTAAAATTCATTTCAATGTCATATCGCCATTTCGTTATTTGCTGACTAGCTTGCCTTATTTTGTAATTTTATTTTTTTAGTTTTTCTCTATTGATCTCGAAGCTGATACCATCTTGCTTTACATGCAGAATCTACAAATGACAATATTTAGTGTTATTTATTTATGGGCGTTTAAGTATATATTTTTTGTTTCACGTTCTTGGCAGCTGGAGATTCCTTTCAAACAATAGCAATAAGCTATATATTGGGACATTCAACGGTATGTTCAATTGGTAAAGAAGTTTGTGAAGCAATAATCCAAACTATGTTATGGAAAACAATGCCACCACTAACACTGAATGACCGGAGAAGGATTGCAAACGACTATTGGAATATTTGGAATTTTCCTAACTGTTTAAGTGCAATTAATTTGAAACACGTTGTAATAAAAGCTCCTGCCAATTCCGGCTCTTAGTTTTTTAATTATAAAAAAACTTTTTCGATTGTTCTTTTAGCATTAGTTGACGCTTGATACAACTTTATAGCAGTTGATATCGGATATAGCTGAACTTTAAATTAGAGTGGAAACAATTTTCTCATTCAGTTGTGTAGACAACCATTACTTTTTCTAAGAAATCCAGTATCACAGTTGCTGAGATTTTGTATTATACACATAAACAAACAAGCAAATAACTTAAAATTTACTTACCTGTGGCATCGAGGTTCTTCGTAATAGCTGGCCAAATATTGTATTTAAATGAATTATCGCTATATTTTTTATTTTCAAAATCATATAAGGCATTATTTTGCCTGACAAGTTCTATAAATTTTTCGTCATTTATATTTATCTTAACAACTTCGAGTGAACCGCGATGTAATAATCGTTATATTATTATTATATTACGTAATACCGTACCGTTGAGAGAGAAAATATATATTCTGTCTCTCTCTTACTCATTATCTTACATATGTAATGGTTTCACAGATTCACTCCTGTACAAATTTCCAACGACGAGCGCGCGTATAGAAGTATAACTAACAAAAAAAAAATCGATGAGAAAAAGTGTGCGATTAAATGAAGGATGATATCTAGGCAAGACTTCTAGACAAAAAAGTAAAAGGAATAAACAGCATTCTTTTGATTAATCCATCTCTTTCCCTTAACTTTTCCTTGTACTATAAGGCGAAGTAGATGATATTTATGTCCTCTAATTATATGACCGAAGTATTCTGTTTTTCTCCTCTTTATGAGCAGAGAATTATTAAAGGCTTTGGGTTTTAGCCCAGACTAAGTTTTTTTTATTATCAAGGCATGCGAAATATGTTTCAAAGGTTAGGTAAATTGTCTTGAACAAATATTTAAAAAATTCTTGAACCTCAAATATTATTTTAAAAATAGATTTTATCAACTGAAAAACTGAAATGATATATTTAAACTTACTTGATAAACGGTTGTTCTTCCAAATTTTTGTAACATCCCAGACATTGAACTTTGCAGTCTGTACACGGACCGATCACTATAGGCAGTTCACTCAGAATTATTTCGCCTGGTTCAATTTCTTTATTAGCCACCATGTACCTGAAAATATTAAAGTATTAACTGTTATTTAGTATAAATATTATTATTAATATTAATATTATTATTATTACACATAAGCGAGGGTAGAGGAACTAAGTCCCTATTATGCCCAAAAACAAAGAAATTTCATTAATAACCTACTAGTAAATAACAAAATTACAAATAAAAGAAATTAAATTACAATTTTTGGTTTAAAAGAAAAACAATATTTTAAGTATAATATAAAAATGGTCAAGTCTGTTTTTGAACAAGTTGATAGACGGAGCAGAGACAATGTTATCGTTAAGGTTATTCCAGCACTCAAAAACTCTATTTGGTAGAAAGTTCTGTCTTGATCTTGTAGAAAATTTTTCTTTCTTTAGTTTAAACTGATGACCTCTGAGGCGTTCATCTTGATTAATGGTAAACATTTCATCAATTTTTCCAAAATTGAATTTTAGTATTTTAAAAGTTGTAATTAAGTCTCCACGTTGTCGGAGAAGTTCAAAAGAAGTTAGGTTAGCCATACTAAGTCTTTCTACATAAGAAGGTCTTCTCGGTCCCAAAGAAATTCGAGTGGCTTTTCTTTGGACGTTTTCCAACAAAGTCTTGTCTCGAACCAGATCGGGATACCACGTTGGTCCAGCGTATTCAAGTATTGGTCTTACGTACAGAGTGTAAAGTTTACAGAATAATTGCATTAAAAATCTCGAAAAATACTTTCGAATAAGATACAGTCCGGAGTTCGCACGTATAGAAATAGAGGTAATATGGTCGGACCAAGTTAGGCCGCTATTAACGATAACACCAAGATCGTTATACGAAAACATAGAATCTAATGGCTGCCCGTTAACAAAATACGGCAGAAGTGGGTTATTTTTACCAATTCGAAGCACTACACATTTTTCCACGTTTAAGGGTAGTAACCACTGGGAACACCAAGTTAAAATAGAGTCCAAGTCCATTTGGAGGGTTAGCTGGTTTGTGATTGGATTGGCATATATTTTTGTGTCATCAGCGTAGAACCATATTTTATTTGAGACATAATCTGGAACATCGCTGGTGTAAACCGTAAAAAGCAGAGGTACAAGGACAGAACTCTTAGGCACTCCACTTTCCACTAACCTGTCCTCTGAGAAAGATTCGCCAACTCTAACTTTGTAATATCGATCTGTCAGGAAATCATCTATCCAACGAAGTAAAGTACCGCGAACTCCGAAATGTTCTAGCTTATGTAGAAGTCTGCGCTTAGATACGGTCAAAAGCTTAGATAAACAACGTCGACCGGCTGCGAACTATTAAGGATGACGTCCAGTCGTTAACACAATGTAAGAGAATGTAACATGTTCCTGGAGAAATTTGGTCATTTCCTCGGAAATAATGGCTTCCATAACTTTGGCAACTACTGGCAGCAAGCTAATCGGACGATAATTGTTGGGGTCGAACTTATTGCCTTTTTTATAAATATACGGAAGCTAATTTCCAACAAGGGGGTAAGAAATTTTGGATGAAAGAAGTTTGCATAATTAACGTTAAGTATACTGCAAGCGTATCTGCGCACCTTTTTAACAGTTTTGGTGTTAAACCATATAAAGTTTAATTAAGTGTTGTTTGACATGATCCACTGTGAATTCAACTTGCTGTAAGGATGCGTCGACACGATTATAGTTAATAGCAGGTAGATAACCATAATTCGATTCTTTAGTAAAAACCTTCTTCTTCTTCTTCTTAAGGTTTCATCTCCTATCGGAGGTTGGATATCATAACGGCTATGGTCACTTTGTTGGCTGCTGCTCTGAAAAGCTGTAGTGAACTACAGTTAAACCATTCTCTAAGGTTCCTCAGCCAGGAGATGCGTCTTCTTCCTATGCATCTTCTTCCTTGGATCCTTCCTTGCATAATAATTCTCAGCAGCTCATATTTTTCTCCTCTGGTTATGTGACCCAAATACTCTAGTTTTCTTCTTTTTATTCTGTTCATAATTTCTTACTTCTTATTTAGACGTCGTAGTACCTCAGCATTGGTAATCCTTTGAACCCACTGAATTTTTAACATTCTTCTGTAACACCACATTTCGAACGTTTCTATTTTTCTTATGTGTTGTTTCTTCAATGTCCAAGCTTGCATTCCGTATAGTAATATAGAAAATATGTAACATCTTAGACCCCTCAATCTGAGATGCAACTGAAGGTCTCTGTTGGTAAGCATTGTCTTCATTTTCACAAATGCTTGCCTTGCAGTTTCAATTCAGACTTTGATTTCTCTGCTTTGGTCATTTTTGCCATCAACCCAGGTTCCCAGATATTTGTATGTCTCTATTTTTTCTATTTGGGTTTGCTCTATCATTAATCTTTCATTCCCATGTTGCGTTTTTAAAACAATCATAAATTTAGTTTTTCTCTTATTTATTTTTAGTCCGTATCTAATGCAATAATCGTTAATTCTATTTACCAATTCTTGTAGCGAATCCAGGGTGTCTGCCATTATAACGGTGTCATCAGCGAATCTTATGTTATTTACTATTCTTCCGTTTACAGAGATTCCATCACCCAGCACAGCTATCGCTTCCTGGAATATGGCTTCAATGTACACGTTAAACAGTAATAGGGGCAGAACACAGCCCTGTCTTACTCCTCTTTTTATATCTATATTTTCGGACTTTTGTTCTTCTATCTTTATATTGGCCTTTTGATTCCAATACAGATTGATAATGATTCGTAAGTCTCGTCTGTCTATATCTTTGTTTTTCAGTATTACTGTTTTTGGTATTGCTACAAAGGTGGACACCGACCATTCCTGTGGGATTTTTCCAGTTTTGTATACTTCATTAAAGTAAAAACCTGTAAAATGCTAAACTGAGAGTTTCGGAAGATACTTTATGAGAAGAGCATAAAGTCTGGTTAAATTTTTGAAGTAGAGGAATGGAAACTTTAGCCGTCATGGAGGAACGTATGTATTTGTAGACTTTTTAAATTAATGTTACCATTTTCAATAACATTTGCTTAAAAATTTTATCTTAGGATTTTTAGAGATGTTTTTAAGTTATTTGAAAATTTGAGGTGGCTTTGGAAATCACTAAGAAGTCCGGTGTGTTTAAATTTTCGCCATAGATGTTGTCTGTGATTAATTTGTTTAATTGCTGTTCGATTTTTCCAGGGTTTAAGGTTGTTTTTATAACTCTTACGGAAAGTGGTAGTTGTAGAAATTATATTGTGGACTTTATCGAGAAATGCAGTCCACATTAATGAGGGGTCGTTTAAGTTTGCAAAAAATAAATTCCAGTCGATTTGAGAGAGTTCAATGTCAACTTCAGAAAACTCGATAGTAGCATATGTTACAATATTATTTTTGCGGGGTAATATTTAATTGAACTGGATCTGACTTTCCTATAGGAGACCTCACTTAGAGAGATGAAATCAGCTGTTCGTCAATAATTCTCTTCTAATCTTTGTGTTTTCTAAGGCTTCAATATTTCGGTATTTATTTAATAGCTTCCTCAGGAGTACACTGTAAAACAATTTTAACATTACAAACAAATGACGTACAAATAAATAGATTTAAAAACACTTACAGAAATTAAAAGATTTCACCAATAAAAACTGACATTAAAGTATATAAAATATTGCATATTAAGATTAAACTGTCTTAAGAATCTGTTGAAGCAAGGCTTCGACGCAAAATGCTCTATCGCAGATGCTAAAGCCAATTCGAAGGTCAGGACATAGAGGTAAGGTACCCACAAAAGATTTTTCAGGTTGCAGTGGGGAGAAGTTTACGGCTAAACGACATTTTATACGCAATCTACTATCCAGCAGAAATATTAAATCAATATAAACATAGCATAATATCTTCAAAGATTAATATACCATGTTATGCTAAAGGTTTTTGTGGTTTTTATCCAGGCCACAAATTTAGACTTTTACCTTTCGTAGTTTCTGCCGTGGCATTTAACTCTTCATTAGCTGAGCTGCGTCTTTTTATTGTGTTTTTCGAATAAGCAAGCGTTAGTCTAAGTTTCTCTGTCCCAAAAAGATGGGTTTATTTTATTTCGAAACTACTTTATTTTATATTTACTTACCTGCCCATTACTTTTGACACCTTTATGCTGAACTTTTTGTCTTCTACACATTTCATGTCATCTTTAGGACATAATATTTCTGTAATGATTGATGATTTGGAACGACTTCTGGATTTGCTATTCTGAAAATTAAAGAATAAATGAAATAGAGGAATATACTGACATGCATTAATATTAAATGAAATACTAAAAAAAAAACAAAATGGTATTATACACCCGTGATTCTATAAGTTGCCTTTATATATCATTACTATGATAGGAATCTGCTAAAGCCTAACTTTATCAAAACCCAAGTCTGGCCTTTCCACCTTAGATCGAGAGTGGCAAAAAGAAAGCTGAAGATCAGATCAATACTGAACCAAATGAGATCGGGCATGGCCGCTGTCAAAGCAACCAACAATTTCAAGCTTTTATCGACTTCATCCATTTTCTTCGTGTACCTTCCCTTTTTCTTTTTGTACCAACATCAGGTTCAATTACAGGTCTAGAGATTCTCCGGTCTAGTATTTTACCAAAATGCACAAGCCACCTCAATTTTGAACTTTGGGAAGAGGTCTTTCAGTGCCGTACCCTGTAAATTAAAAATATTTCCTGATATCAATCCCGCTACGTAATTGATAGGCTGTCCAAATTTTTGAATTTTCAGCTATCATCGCTTTCTAAGGCGAAATTTACACAATTTGGCTGGAATCAACCTTTGAACCAAGTTATCCATTTTTCGAGAAGGGATAAGTATGTTCCCTTAAAGTGATCTATAACATAGACCCCGTGTCACCATATTTTTAAAATTTGAAAATATTTTTCATGGTTTTTCATCTAAAGGTTTTGTACTTAGATATGTGACTATTTTAAACTACTCTTAAAATTTGTTACTGATGATGGTCCGACAGGACCAAAAACGTTGTAAAGATAATTTTAATTAATTTGGATAATTTTTAATCAGATAACATCAGAAGCTTTTACTTCATTGTAAGTTTTTTATAAACTAGGGTTACAGCCAACCACTGTGATTTTCCCTTTTAATTTGTACATAATTTTATTAATGTAGATGGTAAATTCTGTTTACAACAATGGCATTCTATTCAAAATTTCTTTTTGTTTAAGACTTTTGCATCCACTAATATCAGACGTAATAGTTCATAGGATGTAGATTTCCATTTATCACTCATCTCCTGGAGTACATTTTGCACGATAGATTTCCCCCCTAGGTCAATTCTTGGTTTTCATTCCTCATTATTGTTACGTTACTCTACGACTGACATAATACTGACTGACTGACACCTTACTACATAATACGATTAATTTAAGGCTTGCCTATTCCGGTTTTGCTGTCCTCCCTCATGTATCTCTTATTCCAAACTACATCTCTTCCACAACAGGCTAATGCTTTATTGATAAATTGTTGAGTTTGCTACTTATTTGATAGCATTATCGATATATATCATCTTTTTCGCCCGATTTCCAATGCGATATCTGTAAAAACGAACCATGCTGACTTGTTTGATATTCATTTTGAGAGCCGTTACGCCTTCTATAATTTTACCTATTAATGAACTTAAATCATAAAACAATATTCCTCAAGAATGGAGATCAAGCATCCTAATACCTCTCTTTAAAAAATAAGAACTAAAAAACGATACCAAATAGAAGAAAAATACTTAACTTAAAATAATCTGCTATGCAGACAAAGTCACTTTGAGACTACTGTCTCAAAGTAAAGATGATTTACAACGTATGCTGTACCAACTTAATATAACCCAGAAAATTTAACATGTTAATATGTAAATTAAAGCTGAAAACAGTAAGCGAAGATCAAGTCAATAGAGCAAACCGAACCGCATTTTGCCTGAATGAAATAATATGGAGAAATATTGGGAAAGAAATGAAAGTCAGAATTTACAAATTATTCATCAGACTAATAATGATAAACGTAGCAGATACACGACCTGATACAGAGAGGACAACAAATATAGTAGTAAAGACGGCAAGAGACGGTTCCTTAATAGGACGACGATCAGTAGGAAGACCTCAAAAACGATGGAACGACAACTTCATCATCATCTTTGGCTCGACAATACTATGTGGATCCTGGCCTGCTTTAAGATTAGCCGCCATTCTGTTCGGTTTCTAGCAACGTGTTGCCATTTTCTGATCCCTAGTAGTCATAAGTCGGTTTCAACTCCATCTAACCACCTAATTCTCGGTCGGCCTCTGCTTCTTCTTCCTGTAGATGTTCCTGTCGTTAGCTTTTTAGCAATCATGTTGTCAGGAATTCGTATTATGTATGCGGCCCAACTAAGTCGCTGTATTTTAATGAAGCTTACGACATCTGGTTCATTAAAGAGTTAATATAATTCGACATTAAATCTTTGCGCCACTGCCCTCGTTTATAGCTCCAAATATTTTGTGAAAAATCTTAGGCTCAAATATTCCCAGAAGTCTTTCATCCTTCTGCGTTATGAGTCCATGTTTCCGCTCCGGATGTGAGGACCGACCTTAGCAATGTTTTGTATAAAAGAATTTTAGTTTTTCTTTGGATATTTCTTGACTGGAATTGTTTTTGGAGTCCATAGTATGCCCTATTTGTAAGGTTTATTCGTCTTTTAATTCTTCGCTTGTTTTATTGGTAGTAGTCACCAGCGAGCCAAGGTATATTAAGCTGTCAAAAAATATGACTTCCAAATGCTGTTTACCGTTCCTCATTAACTATAGGATCCTTAGTAACTAACATGTACTAGGTTTTGTTTTCGTTGATGACTAGACCGACCAGTATCGGACCAAGACTAAAGTGGGCCCTAGGCAACATTGTAATTCCGGGCCTATTTTTCAGTCATGACACATACTTTGCGTTTGGTAGTTTAGTTCCAAAGCATATAGTATGTATCTATAGTTCCATTTAATTATCGAATTCCAAGAAAAAAAAAAAAAAGAAAAAAATAATGTACATGTACAAAAATTAAATAAACATAGGTTATTAAACCAAACAATAATACTTAAACGAATATACCCATATTGATTTGTTATATTACCTTTTTCTGACTTTTAATTTTGCAAAACCTGTTAATTAGTTTGTCACGATTAATAAACTTTCTATATAATAATAACTTATTCTATATAAAGTAACGATAAACTATTTAATTTTTTAATTTAATCAGAATTGATTAAATTAAAAAATTAACATATTTTCTTTACTTTGAACAGTCTTAAATTGTAATATATACATACATAATTTTTCAATTTTACTAGGTTTAAATTTCTTGTACTTTTAATTCCTCTATTGAAAAGTCTCTAACATCATTATCACAAAAAACTATTATTTTTTAAAATTATTTTATTGTTAATAGTTTCATATCCCTCAGATCTTTAGGCGATCAGTAAAGAATCGCACACAACAACAAAAATTATAGCGCCACTGAATCTTTTTTCATTTTCTGGAATTTCATCACGTAATAGTTTTCGTATTTTCTGCCGTTTTTTATGTTGAAGTCTTGTTTGAAGCATTTATTTTCTTTAAAATCTTTTGCCACATAGCAAGTAACAGTACATATTCAAATATATCAAATTTTTTATGTGATTTCACAGCGTATGACCTTTTTAATGGGTTTCCATCTTTGTTTGAGCTAAAATGACCTACACAATGTTTAATTTCTTCATAATTTTCCTTTAAAGATTTCGCAGCATCGGAACAAGCAAACCACCTGGTGTCACAAAAAGGTTTAACATTTTTGTAATGCATTTCACCTATGTGTAAAACAAATACGTACAAATCCTGAGCAATATTGAAAAAAGTTCAAATTTTCATTTGAAATGAAAATTTCGGAAGTTGCGTTTCTAATTAAATTTAAGAATGATTGGGGCATGGTATGAAATGGGCAGAAAAATATGTTTTATTTTGGATAGGAGTCCCTTACATTTATCTGCCATATTTAACGCATTATTATAACGCTGCCCTAAATTTATTGATGGAGTTAATGTGGTCTTTTCATACTCTGACAATGTTTTATGTACATTTTTCCAAACATGATAAGCATGGGAACGTTTGTCTAACGTTGTCGACTATCAATCAACGATTCGGTATAATTTAGACACGTTTCAGATATAATTATGAATATAATAAAAACAAAAATTAATTATAAAAATTAAAAGCATAACTGTCCAGCCCTAAAAATCACGGGCCCTAGGCACGTGCCTAGGATACCTAGACCTTACCTGAAACCGACCTGTTTCTCAGCTGTTTCAAATTCTAATAAATATTGCTCAACATCTCGCTTGATACGCTCTATTATATCAACGTTATCAGCATATGCTAAGATTTGTATCAATCTATTGCAAATATGCCGTATCTAATTCGTGTGTCTCGGACTGCCTTTTCCAAGCCAATATTAAATCCCCTTTATCCATTGGGTCCATCCTTTATCTCAAAGGATCGAAAATTTTCTCCCTGTATCCTAACGCTGGCTTTTAAGTTAGATATTGTCATTTCCGCTAATCGGAAGTTTTTCTGGTATACCAAGGCTCTGGAAGAAGAAACTTAAAATAAAAGTGACTGAAGCTGTCTTTTTATTTAATTACTTCCAGTTTTTTGGTGTTAGGGGAGATTACGTTCCCTTGTATTTGTAATATACCATCATGCAATGACATCATCTGAAACGAAATCTACACCTTTTTCAAAATCCACAATTACCATTCTGCAGTTTTAAACCATAAACATCTAAATAGCTTTTTTTACAGAATTTACAAATGTTCCCTGAATATGTATTACTTCTAATTTACCTAACATATTAACAAGCTGTCTTAATGCTTAATATAACAGATCGTGTTCATTAAATAGTAAATATTAATTTCATAACAAATACTGCTTTGTTTAAAAAAATATTTAGAGCAAATTTCAATTCCATTGTATGTTATAAAAATACACTTAGGTCCTGTAAAAATAGATCTGACAGAAGAAATATCGGCTAGTATTCTGAATATAAATATTTCTTTCATGAAGCTCTTACAACACAATGTGTGGCAATTATTAAATGTCAAGTGTAAGGTTGTGGAAGTATTTCAAGCAATTTTATCCAAATATTTTGGTAAAATGAATCATGTGTGGATTTTCTCGTGAATAAAAACAAGG